GGGACAGCAAATTTACACTGTTATACAAGCTGTACACTCACTACTTTACATTGTAGCTAAGTGTCATTTCTTCAGTGTTGTCACATGAAAAGATATAATAAAAATATTTACAAAAATGTGAGGGGTGTACTCACTTCTGTGAGATACTGTACATACATACATACATATACATATATATATATATATATATATATATGCTAAAACACAACAAAGCACAAACATTTCAGTTTGGATAAGTAAGCCCAGTACCAGCTGTTTATTCCTGTTATTTTCATCCTTTATTCTGAAGACATTATTTTCACAGGTTCTGTTGCTTATTTATACAGACCGGTACAAGACACAAGAACCGGTACAGTATGGCCTGCAGCAATGATCTTGGCGAGTTCAGTCTCAGGTCATATTGTTCTATGATTTTCCAGAAATCTGGCTTCCTCCTCAGGCTTCATACCTGTGTTTATGGCTCACCTCTCGAACACTCTCTTCCCACACCCATATGAACACAGACAATGATACTGACCTGATATTGAACCTGAACTACTTTTCTGTACAGGTGTGTGACAGTTGTTGTGCTTTCTGAATGTGATGAGCTGAAAGCAGGAAAGTCACATTACCCCAGGCTTATAGGCTTCCACTACAAAAATAATGTGGTGTTTAAAAAGAGGGCTTGATAACATCACCCAAATAAAAAAAAGCTGTTGTTTATATATATATAGTTAGTAAGACTTACTTTGATGATTTATTTTGTTAAACAGTTCATTTAAATTTTGCTGATGAATTGCAGTATTGCAAACATAATAACAGACAAAATAATTTGTTTTATTATAAGTTGAACGCATGGTATAGATGATGCACTCAAGAGACCACACCTTCTGTACCTGCTGTTTATCTCCTTGTGCAGGGTGATATAACGCCCGCCAGGCCTTGAAGGAAGACTTACAGAATGAAAACAGTTATTATAGTTAATGCCTGCTCTCTCTCAACCTGTTCCGTCAGCTACATGCAGCGCCACAGGCTGCGATTACAGCAAGGAAAGAGAGACGGAAACAAAACAAAACAAACAGGTTTGTGGTTGAAAGTTTTGTGCCGGCTTCTTTGAAACTCCCAGCTCCTGAATCCTGTGGTCTACCTGAGCACTGCTCACCTGCGTCAACGCTGACATCATCACCACGAGGACTGGAACAGGTCAAAGGTGACTTCAGTTCAGGGGAGGTGGCCTTCAACACAGTGCCATCTACTGGTGACAAACGGACTTAAACGCTCATGCGCAATATACATGAGGCATTTATTTCAAAGCATTTCCCTTAACTCTCAGGATAAACACAAATGCATGTTTAGCACTGTACAGAAATATACACAAATATATGTGTTTAACACTTCACTTCTCCCTTTGGAGAAAAACAACAATCAATAATGGTAAAAAAGGGTCTCTTAAAACAACAGTTCACCCCAAAATTAAAATTCTGCTATTATTCACCCCCGTGTTGATTCAAACCAACATGCTGCTATTTTTTTTCAGTAAAACACCAAAGGCAAAAAAAAAAAAGTCATGAATAAAAGTATGAATCCCAAATCTAATTTATTCACTGATAATATTTATTGAATTTCAAATCAAGTGTCCAATGACCGAACTACGTGTGTGTTGCACAGAAAAAATACCAGCATATGAGTATGATGGAAAAATATTGTCGGTAAAGATTTAAAATAGTAAATAAGTGAAAATTTTAATTTTTGAGTGAACCATTTCCTTAAAACAACCTAAAACTAAGATTCAGTATCACTGAAATTTGCAGCCATTATTGATTATTAATTGAATGCTAATATATACACTCTGGTGAATGCAATGTCACAGCTCACAAAAAAATAACAAGACATTTGTTTATAAATGGCAGTAAACACATGAAATTAGTTGTCATAATTGTCAGACATTATGAGAAAAGAGTGAACGAATGAGATTCTGGTCCGTTTTCCATTATTTTAAATTAGTCCTGACAGTTAAATCTGTTGAATTGATCCTTTGAGCAGACAGATTTCTTCTGGAAGGCACCTTTAGTCTTTCAGTGAGTCAGTGTATGGCACGAAATTCTGACCATGGTCAAGGAATGTATGTAAACAGGTGTAATATAATGTTTTCAAGGTCTTTGTCTCAGTCACTATCAGCCCCGTTGTGGTCAATTAAATGCTTTTCTTCCAAAAGGTGAACCTATAAAACACACAAAAATCCATAATGAAGAAAAGGTCTCATTGGGATACTTGTACAGCAAGATATATATATATAAAAAAAAAAAACAAGTTTGTTGGACACATGAAACATTGATTTCAGCTGAATTTATTTATACTGCAGTTTTTATTATAATTTTATTCACAATACATTTATTATAATAATTACAATACTTAATTAAGTATTCAATAATTATTTATTATGTATTCCTGCATCACAAACAGCAGAGCATGGTGCTACCAATGTCAAAGTCACGGGTTCGGTGAAATATGTATTCAATATAAATCACTTTGGATAAAACATCTGCCAAAAGCATAACAGTAAATGTAAGTGTAAGAAGACTGTTATATAAGACACATGCAACTATACAAAAACATTTGGCGGCAGAATGCCGTGATCAACCAACCAGAAGTAAGTACTCCAGGGAGTTATGCAATTAGACAGTTTAATAATCTTATGAAATTACAATTCTGTCATGCTCATGTTTACCTGCGGCTGTAAGATTCGCTGGTAGGTGGGGCTGGACAGTTCATCAAGTGTTTCAGCAGCAGGTTTATTAAGTGTCTCCGGCAGAAGAAGCCCCAGGCAGCCCGCGGAAATCCCACTCAAACAGAACACCATAAATGGCATGGAGGTGTGCAATGATTTCTGGACAATTACCAATAAATCAGTACACAATCAATCAATATAATAATAATAAAGCTGATAAAATATATTTACAATATTAATTAATTTTATAGAATGTTTCCACATTACATTAATAAAATCTATGAATGCATATATTAACACATTAATAATTATTAATCACACAAGAAAATATTATTTAGGGGGAAAAATGGCATTTCTTAAGTCAGACAGCTTACAGCTACTTACCATACTCGGCACAAACGGTGCCAGAATTCCCCCAACTCTACAGGACATGGAACACACACCCAGCCCTGCATTCCTAACACACACACACTTACATTAAAATTCACCCAGCACATGCAGTGAGGGACTTTTGGGTTGTACGTATATAATAGCATACACTAGAGGGCACTGTTTGCTCAAGCACAGAATCTTATTCTGTAAGGAATTAAACACGTTTTATACAAATAAACATTTTAATAATAATTTTTACTTAAAATGACAATTGTAAAAGAGCTAAAGCACAAAAGACATCACACATGCAGCAAAAGCGTTGGCTGTACCTGATCACAGTTGGGTAGAGCTCTGACGTATACACGTACACAATATTAAATGCAGCACTGACCATCAGTTTTCCCACTAGAGCCAGTGACGTGGCACTTAATAAGGACCCTGAGGAAAGCAAACAACAGGCTTTAGACAACCAAATTAGAAATGCATGATATATGTTTACAGAGAATATTAGCACTACTGGTCAAAAATTTGAAATTAGATTTTTTTTAATGTTTTCTTTTATAAATGTTGGTAACAGTTGTTCTACTTAATATTTTTGGTGGAAACCTTGATACACTACCATTCGAAGTCTGGGGTAGGTAAGATTTAAAATAAAAAGGAAGAAAATGTATGTTTTTATTCAGCAATGACACATTAAATTCAAAAGTGACAGTAAAGACATTTATGTATATTATTAAAAAATATTTTTATTTCAAATACATTTTTTTTTTAAACTTTTTTATTCATCGAAGAATCTTTAAATAAATGTATCATGGCTTCCACAATAATAATAATAATAATAATAATAATAATAATAATAATAATAATAATAATAATAATAATAATAATAATAATAATAATAATAATAATAATAATAATAATAATAATAATAATAATAATAATAATAATAATAATAATAATAATAATAATAATAATAATAATAATAATAATAATAATAATAAACATTATTAATAATAATTTGAGTCTATTTATATAATAATTGAGCACCAAATCAGCATATTAGAATGATTTCTAAAGGATCATGTGACATTGAAGACTGGAGTTATGGCTGCTGAAAATTCAGCTTTGCCATCACAGGAATAAATTACATTTCACAATTTAATAATAAAAAAAGTTATTTTAAATTGTAATTATATTTATATAATATTACCATTTTTACTGATCAAATAAATGCAGCATAAGACACTTCTTTCAAAAACATTTTTATATGTTAATTATTTCACTTTTGACCAATTGTGTGTGTGTGGACCCAAAATGTATCATTCCTGAAACAATTAATTGCATAAATATCCAAAAATAAACCAAGTGGCATCAAAGCCTAATGTATTTGGAAAGATGATCACCTGATACAGGTACGAACATTGTGAGCAGACAGGATACGCCTGCAAATGCAAGAAAATTGGCCATTGACTTCCTCCGGCCTGCCCTAAAAGAAAAACAAACAAACGCACTAAGCTAATAATGTGAGAGAGTCTGATACTGCAGCGTGTGGATGTGATCGTGCGAGTGCATTTACCACTGTTTGTTAATGAAGTACATGCAGAGAGGGTATGCAGGGAGTTCCACCAGACCATACATGGCAACGCTAAGGTAACGATTACCTTTATCTTCACTGGCACTGAGGGTCAACCCATAATACACAAGGCTACACGCATACCTGCATTATACACATACACACACACAGAATGAGTACATTAAAATGCACAGATCATTGGCATAATACTGTAAGAGTGAAATAAACATATAGCTTTTGGAAATATTACAGACTCCTATCAAATACTCACCACACATACATGAGCACCACAGTCCTCCAGCGCAGTATGGGATGTGTGACCAGCTGGAAAACCCCAGGGCTGGATGCATCCGGAGTGCTGGTGCTGACGGCCCGCCGGAGCTTCACTGGAATTCTGCCTTTCCCGTTCCTCACAGCAAAATCCTTCAGGATGTCTTCAGCCTTCTCCGTCTGACCCCGAGAATAAAGCCAGCGTGGAGATTCTGGCAAAGTACTGCCACAGTCATGGTAATTAGCCAGACATATTCTTATTTCTCATGTTCAAGAGACATTATGACATTTTAGATAAGATTCCAATATGATTTGAACCTTTTGACAGGGGAATATTTTCTGAGAATGTTTTTGATACAGGCTTAATATTTTTCCTGAAGCTTTTTGCAACATTTATTCAATGGAATACAAGAAAAAGCACAGAAAAGAAAGGGAAGAAGGGGAATGAAATCAGAAAATCATGCAAGTCAGACTTGCTTTGCACATGTATTATGACTATTAAGCTAGTAATTACCTTCTGACAATGATATTTGTATAACATGTTTTTTATGTATTTATTATAAGGGCAAAATGTAAAATGTAGTATTTAGTTAATTTAGGCAAATTTTATGGCAAAAACTGGGTAGAACCAGTAATTTATATATATAAAGCATGGCAAAAGATTATTAAAACAAATTATAAAAAATGTACTTTAAAGTAAAACCTTTAATTTGACATGAATTATGTACTTAATTGGGTTACAGTCATTAAAGTGTTATTTCTTTAAGTACACTTAAGTGACCTTTAACTTCATTAAGATTGATATATGCAAACACACACACACACACACACACATATATATATATATATATACACATATACATGCATATATGTGTGTGTGTGTGTGTGTGTGACCCTGGACCACAAAACTAGTCATAAGGGTATATTTTTTTTAATTGAGATTTATACAATATATCTGAAAGCTGAATAAATAAGCTTTCCACTGATGTATGGTTTATTAGGATAGGACAATATTTGGCCGAGATACAACTGTTTGCAAATCTGGAATCTGAAGGTACAAAAAAAATAAATAAATAAAAATATTGAGAAAATCGCCTTTAAAGTTGTCCAAATTAAGTTCTTGGCAATGCATATATTACTAATCAAAAATTACGTTTTGATATATTTACGGTAGGAAATTTACAAAATATCTTCATGGAACATGATCTTTACTTAATATCCTAATGATTTTTGGCATAAAAGAAAAATCCATTATTTTGACCCATACAATGTATTTTTGGCTATTGCTACAAATATACCTGTGCTACTTATGACTGGTTTTGTGATCCAGGGTCACATATATAAACAAATGAATAAACATTTAAAAGAATATAATTTACACTATGAATTTAGAGATTAACAATCTAGAAATTAATATTTTATTCAGTAAGGATGCATTATATTGATCAATAAAGTCATTACGAACTTTCTATTTATGAAAAAAATGTTTTAAAAAATGTATCACAATTCCACAGAAATATTAACCAGCACAGCTGTTTTCAACACTGATAATAATAAATATTTCCTGCGCACCAAATCAGCATATTCAAATTTTCTGACAATTTTTGATCATTTGTGACACTGAAGACTGGAGTAATGGCTGCTGAAAATTCAGCTTCACTACCATAGGAATAAATATTTTTTTTATATTACATATTGCAGAAAACAGTTACTTTAATTGTCTTAATTTACTTCTTCCAAACTTTTAAAAATATGAACCACAAACTTTTGAACGGTAGTGTGTATCATTTTTTCGCACTTCCTTCAACAGAACACACAAAAAAAAACTCTTCTAATCTTTGTTTTTGTTCAAGATATACTTTTACAAATGCTTAAAGTGTCCTAAACCAACACTAAGTGCAGCTTTACATAGCACCGTTAGTTAAACAGGACGTAGCTATCTGACCACACCGCTCACTTACACACAGAGCAGGAAGAGCAAAAGTCCAGGACAGTTGGCTGCAGCTGCTAGGTTCCGCCACGGCTGAACATAATAACCCAACGCAGCAAACAGAGCGATGCCCACTGCAAAGGTCATATTAGTCAAGGTCCCTGAAACACAGACAATCACATAAGCTTTACATGACTACTGTCAAAGTAAACAACAAAACTGATTTAAATCTTAATTCATGTGTACCTGTCAAAGCCCAGTAGGACTTCCCCACATATTCCTGAGTAAGAACAAAGCAGACCAACGCCATTCCTCCGTTCATCATTCCCACCAGCAGCCGAGACACAGCAAACACCTCATAACTTGGCGCTAACGCTGTTCCGTACCCAAACAAGACCTCAAAAAACAGACCTGAGAGAGAACAGTTTTAATAGAGGTCACCAGAACAGCAACACATTCAACTGTTGTTTTAGGAAGGTTTAGGCCTTATGTTTGTTTGTTTCTTTGCTTTTGGTTTTCAGTTGGTTGCGCATTAAAATCACATGTAAAGCAGTTATAGATGATTAAATAGATGCAAAAAATAAAAGACCTATCACAAAGCAGTATGCAAATATTACAACGATGTAATCCCTCCTTATGAAACATTCTATCAATTGAAACATTTTCCAATTTTAGTCCTACATTACCGGTACTTAAAATGAACACTTACTATAAGGCTGACATTCTACAATCAAACATTTACCCAGACTGCAGAATTAGGGTTTTATTATAGACTATTATAAAGAACAGAAACCAGTTCAGCTCCATCTTACTAGTAAGGAAAACCGGCTTCCTGCCAATCTTATCGGAGAGTGGTCCAAACAGGACATTTCCGATCAGCACACCCGCAAAGAACAGAGACCCAGCCAAGTTTACTTTGTAGGCTTCATGCTTAATCAGGTACCACTGCATAAAAAGACCAGAACAAACCAGAATATCAAACAGTTCAAATATGTATGCATATACCTGCTGTCCTGACCAAACACAATGATTAATACACAGTTCTTTCCTATTTGATATCAAGTATAGGTGTGATTTGTATTTGAAAGGATGAGCCAAGTTTAAGACAAATTAGTTTAATGTGCTAAATTGATGACAGTCTCTTACCTCGGTCACGATTGAGCTGACGTCTTTTGTGAATTTCACACTTTGTGTTATATCATCATGCGGATCTCCAGTAACACGTTCTATGTGATATTCTGGCACAGCACCCACTAAAATTATGAGCATGGTCTGACATGCCATGTAAATCTGTAAAAACCAGACAAATATTTCAGGTTATTCAGCTTTTAATGATCTAGGCCCAGTTTCCTACCAGCAAATGAACAATATCCAATCTGATCTCAAATCAGTTCAAATAAAAACCCTGATATAGAGACGATCACTAGAATGTTAATATCATCTAATTTTCTCTTTATTATTTCTCATTATGGCCATAACTCATGTAGGTTATTTCAAATATATTAAAATGAAGAAAAACAGAAATATAAAGTGCATCTTTGAAAGAAACCTTATTACTATATCTTACCTACCAATGCAGTAGAAAAGGATAATTTAGAAAATACAGACTTCTTTTATAATGTTAATTGTATCCCTTCTCACCACAAAATAATTTATAACTTAATTTCCGTATTCACCTGCTATAAGACAAACATTAGACAGATTTTGGTGAGTTTTTTTTTAAATAACTTTAAATCACCTAAATATGGATGGTTCCATAAACATAATATTTAAGCTACATCCCACAAATTGTAAAGAAATTGTTTGGAATTTTTAGATATTTTTCTTTATATTAAGTAGGTTCTAATAGTTCCATTCATATCATATTTCTAAATATTTATGACTTAATACTTTTTTTTTTTTTTTTAGACACTATTGACTCAAAAAAAGAACACACTTTTTGAAATGAAAGTCTGAAAGGAAATCAAAGCAGGATACAACTCTGAAAATGAATCCAAAATATTGCTTGATATACAAACATTTTCCGTTTTCAGAGCCAACAAAGCAATATCATTGCTGTATGAGACTTCAGGTTCCAGGATCTTAAAATGGAAACCCAAAACTAATGACATACGTAAACACATGTTAACGTAAATGATTTACTGAAACTAGGTCGAATTAAAGCAAAGACATCCCATCCCCTGAAGATAAAATGCAAATATGACATGGCTTCAAAGTTTTGATCCATCAAATATACATTTTGCATAGATTACTGGCTTGTGTGATCAGAAATATAAAGGAATTTAACTACACAAACACATGTCTGTCCAGAATTTATGGATTTGCATCTATCATCTGTTACCTGTAGGAGAACCAGGATGGTGACCATCCGCTTCTGGTGTCTACCGAACTCTCCAACCACCTGGTAAGCCTCCTCTAAATCCATTCCAGGGTCAGATCATCCGACTGCATACCATTGTGTGTATATTTACATTTTTAATAATGGCTTTGAGTACAACTGAGGTTTCAGATGTTCCTCTGTAATCTGGCTTCCCTTCGCAGACGCGGAATTAAACCACGTGGTACACAGCGGTCCTGATTGGACGAGAATGTGTTATTCAAACACGTGGTACAGACCGCTGTTCTGATTGGACCTCAGCAATTAACGCTTTGTGGAAAAAGAAATTGAAACGAGCGCTTTTAGTGACCACATTGTTTTTAATTGTACTAATTTGGACTAAAATTAAGTGTCTAAAATCCTTTGTATTTTCAAATCAATGGTTATCGTTAAGGGGAATGAAATTATCAAATCATTATAATCGATGTCATCATTCAGGTGTCAATTATTATCCAGACATTAGTAGAACGTTCCAGATATACATATTCGGAGAAACAAAGTACACATTTAAGTTCAGATAGGCCTGTTTTACTGCAAGCAAATCAAAATATGAAAAGCTCATTTGTGCACAAATTCAGGGACGAGAAAAATCAAATGTAAAGAAAAAACATTTAAAATAACATTTGTAATTTGCGTTGGATAAAAGCGTCTGCTAAATGATTAAATGTAAAATAAATAAATAGGATTTAATATTTTTCTACTTGGCTTCTCAGAATAAACACCAGGGCCCGTATTCACAAAACATCTTAAGGCTAAAAGTAGCTCATAACTTGCCGATTTAGGAGAAAATCTTAAAAATAATGGGCGTGTCAATCCTAAATTTAGGACTCCAACATTTTTGCGCTAAGAGCATTTCACAGCGTTTTTGCGCTAAAACTAGCTCCTAAATCTGTGGAACGTTAGGAGTAGTGAAGAGGACTCCTAAGTCACTAAGACCAAACCACAAACTAGGCCTATCCTATGGGATCAGATTCCCTATCTGATCCCATACTATCCTCCCTGCTGAAGAAAACAATAGAAACCATCACAGAAATTCTAATGGTTTCCACTACAAATACCATTACAAGTCATCAACTTTTAACCATTAAAATAATTAAAAATGGTTTTCTGTAGTGTGTTTTGGGACATGTTCCATTAGTGGTTTTAACAAGCCAACAATAGAAGGCGACCAATTACCAGTAGAGACCAACAGGCACCATTACAGTTACCATTAAAACCAGTACAATTCCCATTATAACCAGTAAAACCATTAAAAATTCTGTGATGGTTTCTATTGTTTTTTTCAGCCGGGCTAAAATGGCTGTTGCCAGCAATCTGCCTCGGAACATAAACATTTTAGAAACACGCTGCATTTATTTGCACACACGTTTTCCCATGCATTAGTTTCTTTTTGGTTTTGGAGGTTATCCCAATTCCAAATTTTCCTTTGATTATATCCTCGTTTTCATTAACAAGTTGGGCAAGAAGTAACAGCTGTTCTTACGCCCAGTTTGGTTTTCTTTTACATTTGCATGCCTTACTATCAGCCATGATTATTCTACTGTTTATTAAAAGGCTGTTCATATGCATATTCACTAATTGTTTATGAGAAGCACACATGTAAGAGGCTGACAATTAGCTGAACATATACTTGTTTAATTAGTGACACTTAGCCTGCATTTTTAAACCTTTATTTGAATATGGCAATATAATATTGCACTCTACAATATTTCTATGAATAAATCTCTGACAGAGACCCCTATCAGCCAATCACTGTGTGCACTGTTTGGAAGTATGCTGACATCATCCATAGCAACAAGGTCAACCCAGCCCTTACTCTTAGCTTAAGACTTCTCTCTATTCCTTAGTAAAAGTTTGTCTCAGCAGCTTTGTGAATAGGTTTTAAGAGAAAACTCTTAGCTAAGAACTTTTACTGCTATTTAGGGGAACTCTTAGTGGGAAGATAAAAGGTTTTATGTATACGGGCCCAGATTTTTACAAATTTGAATGATGCATTTCTTACACAATACGTAAAGTTTGCTAAAATAAGGTTACAACAATTCTTACGTCTTAATTTCTTTATTAAATGCAGTAATCCGCAAACATGATTTTCTTGTAGTAAGAACCTTATGTCTCTTAAATTTGAGGAAAACATACATCTACAAAGAGCACCAATGTTAGTCAACAAACTTAATGCAATAGAAAGAATAAACTTTATACAAACATTTTAAAACAGAACAATACTTTAAAAATATATTTATTGGTTCAAATATGGAGTGGATCATTTTCTTTTAGCTTTTAAATTAAACATACAAATGTTTAACAAAAACCACAAAAAAAAAAAACAAGCTCTAAACTCTAATGAAACTAACAGAAAAGGTAACAAAGAAATCACCCTGACGTTAAAACATTATTGAACTGTGACTGAGGAAACAGACATATGAAAGCTAAATACATAGACAAGTCATATTTAAAAAGACATACACATATAGTTAAAACAATGCTCTTTAAGACATACATGGAAAGAATAAAAACCAGAATATAATTAGTTAATTCTGACACCTGAGTGGTAGTTTAGAACGTGGTGGCGTAGACGTGCTTTCATTCTCCACCTTTGAACGGTTCAGTGACTTATTGCAGTTTTCCTTCTTGCTTTTCTTCTGATCAGACAAAAAAAAAGAAAAGAAAGTATTGTCAATAATTGGCAATTGGGAATTTTGCTTGAGGGCAAAATATTTCCCAACACAGATTTGGAAATGGGTTCAGGGTTTTTCACGTTGACCGACAGAAAGCTGCTTGGTTCAAGTGACTTTTGTGCGAGGTGTGCATCACACATTGCTACATTATTGAAAATATGCAATGGACCTTCTTTGGCCCAAAAAAATTGCGCTAATGTGACCGGACCTTAAGCCTGTGCATGACAATAAATGGGTCCAAATTGTCTCACCTTGAAAAAGGGAACCCTTCCGTTTTCGTAACACATCAGGTTCTCATCAGAGCATGACTGTTCAGTGACATTTCCGTCACTAGAAACACTGACTTCATCCTCCAGAGAGTCCTAAAAACAGAATTGAGGTTACACCAGTCCACACAAGAGCATCTACAGCTTAATAAAATTTAAAAAGCAGACAGTGTTTCCACTGACTAGCTCTGGAATATGGATGGTCAAAACGTATGACTGTAATACCTGGTCGTGAGGTTTCTCCTCTTCTGCCTCTATGACGGTCTCACACTGGCTCAGTGCACACTGAAGCTGCTCCTGCTGAGCTCTGAACTCATCTTCCAGCTCCTCTCGACTCCTCGGCTTGTTCAGCACACGTGGATACACATACTCCTTACGCTGAGGAGTCGTTCCTGCAAAAATACACGTCACATCAGTGCCCAGTACACATGGACTACATTCCCCTCACAGCTTCTCATGTACCCGTTGGTAAATCTTGCCGCAGCTCTGAGCTGATGAAGTTGTGTACTGTGTCCAGTGCCTGAGTGTTGATGGAGAAGAGGATCTCTTTGTGCTCCTGCAAGGTAGCCGCATCTTTGCCGGTCTGCAATTCCACACGACCCAGGATTCCTTCTACTTCTTGCTGCATGTGACTCAAACGGGCTTCACCGTCTTTAACAGCTTTCTCACCCTTTTCTTCAACAGACTGCATGCACGCATAAGAGTAAAAAAGATTTAGCACTAGCAAAAAAGAAACAAACAAAAAAAACTCACTTTCTTTAACTTTCTCCATTCAACAGGTTCAGACACAAAGGACAGTCTTGGCCACATGACAGGAAGCAAGCAAGACTGTCCCAAGCCTGATAAATGCCAAAGCTTAGTGCCCTTAAAGGGGTCATATGATGCTGCTAAAAAGAACATTATTTTGTGTATTTGGTGTAATGAAATGAGTTTATGCGGTTTAAAGTTCAAAAAACACATTATTTTCCACATACTGTACATTATTGTTCCTCCTATATGCCCCGCCTTTTTGAAACGCGTCGATTTTTACAAAACTCATCGGTCTGAAAAAGCGAGGTATGCTGTGATTGGCCAGCTATCCAATGTGTTGTGATTGGCCGAATACCTCAAGCGTGAGACGGAAATGTTACGCCCGTTATTCAAATCTTCCCACATAGTGAGGTAGAAATGTGTGGGCGTGTTAGAACGAGCCGTTTTAGGAGGGTGTGGTTAACTCTTAACTTTTATAAAGAATATCTCTTTGGTTTTGAGACTTTAGTGTTTGCAACTTTACAGATCTTCTTTATGCACCAAGAGCTTGTAACACTCCAAAGAGAAAGGAAAAATTGAAATCGCATCATATGACCCCTTTAACACACACACACACACACTAAATGAACAACATTAAGGCTAAGCATATTCCATCACACGTCCCAAAACTTTAGTGCAAGTTAAATAAATTAGGAATTACATATAGCAAAACGTAAAGTGTTGCACTTTTTACTGGCAAAGAGAGGAGTTCAATATTTTCATCTACTTTTTCACCACTTAAATAGAAGCATCATAATTACTAAATTATGACATCTGTCATGGGGACTACTGAACAGAAGTTTTATTATTTTAGAAGTACAAAGTGTTAAATAAAAGTGTAAATAAAGCTCTGTAAAGTTTATTTGTTTTATATTTATTTTTAGCAAACACTATAACGGGCCATTCACACAGAACACATTTTTCTATTCCACTGCGCTATTTTTCAATCGTCTTTCTATGTAAACACACAATGTGGGCATTTTTGGGACAAGCCCAAACTAACCTTTAGCAGGTCTTGCACAGCTGTGTCTGTCTCCTTGATGAGTTTGAGCTGTTCCTGGGCTTTATTCTCAGTTGAACCTCTGGCTTCGTGACACCACTTGAGTCCCGACTCAGCCAATGAGTCCACTGATGTCTGCAGGTGTCTGCAGTAACCAGCACATTCCTCCAGCGTCCTCTCTCCCTCTTCAGTCACCCCATTCAGCTCAGTTATAACTCCATCCACAGAGGAACCCAGCCGAGCACGGACAGACACAGTATGCTCCTCAGACACAGTGCATTTACTACAATAAAGATAAGATTTGTTAGGGTTTTGTTATAGAAAACTTGAAGGTATTTGTTGTGAATGCCCTCTCACCTCTGTATGGAGCTCTGTAGCGTTTCTAGTGGAACAATCTGGGCAGATGCTGCCTGTGCAAGACCCTCAAAGTCAGTCTGAGTGTCCACCGCCAAGAGATTCATTTGGTTCTGCA